TAAGAGCACTGACTGCTCTTGCAGGGGACCTGGGTTCAATTCCCAGCACCCACATGGCAGCTACGAACCGTTCTTAACTCCAGTTCCAGGGGAATCCGAAACCTTCTTCTGCCCTCTGTGGCATTGTAGGACACAGGTGCACTCACATACATGCAGGCAATACACTCATACACATAAAAAAAAATTTTTTTAAAAAAATTTTAGCCAGGCATGGTGGTGCACGCTTTTAATCCCAGCTCTCGGGAGGCAGAGGCAGGCGGATCTTTGTGAGTTCAAGGCCAGCCTGGTTTACAAAGTGACACTCTGTCTCAGAAAACAAATAACCAAAAATTTTCTCCAGATATTACTGAGACTTTGTCAAATAAAATAAAATAAACCCTTTTTAAAAAAGCCAGGCATGTCAGGGCTGGAGAGATGGTTCAGCAGTTAAGGGCACTGGCTGCTCTTGCAAACCTGGGTTTGGTTCCCAGCACCCACATAGCAGCTAACAACCACCTGTAACTCCAGTTCTAGGGGATCTGGTGTCCTCTTCTGGTCTCTGTGGGCATTGCATGCACAGGTGTATATGCATACATGCAGGTAAAACACTCACACATAAAATAAAAACAAATAAATCCCCCCTCCAAAAATTTCAAAGCCAGATGTGGTAGTGCATGCCTTTAATCCAAGCACTCAGGAGGCAGAGGCAGGCAGATTTCTCTGAGTTATGGCTCAGCCTAGTTTATATAGAGTTCTAGGCCAGCCAGGGGTACATAGTAAGTCATTCTCTCCCTTGACCTCTCCCTTCTCTCCCCCCACCCCCCTCATACACACACACACACACACACACACACACACACACACACACAAAACACCTCCAGATAGATGTAATTTCCTCCAGCATATAGTAACTGTCTGGAGACAACCAACCCAGTTCTTTGCATGTCCAGCTAGTACAACACCTGTCACTGTTGGGGATTTATGCTGTTACTGCATTTCACCTTTGTGGGGAAATGCAATGAGGGGAGCTTCATAACCGCCCTGACTTAAGACAGAGAGGTTTGGTGACCTCCCATGACTATACAGTGGGTCAGTGGCAGAGCCAGGATTTGAGATGTCAGCATGACTATGGAGCTGGCATGAGACACTAGGCAGGGGTAGGGGGAGTTGGGATCACAGTTCACTAATGTCAGGTGCTGGGTGCCACAGAGGCTGTGGAACTGAGAAAGCCTTGTCGTGAGTTCAGGGCTTGGAAGCAGTACTCAGACCAGCACAGAAGAGTATAAAACCTGGAGCCAGGGGGTGGGGTGATGGAGGGGAGGGCAGGGAGTAGAAAGGGTGAATAGGAGGAAGATGTGGCTCAGAAACCTGCCTTTCTGGCAAAACCCTTTGTGGTTTGTTTAGATGCTGAGGATCAAACCCAGGGCCTCATGCATGCTAGGCAAGTCCTACACTGAGCCACACCTCAGCCCTTTCTCATCTTTCTTTTGGTTTGCTTTCGTCATTCATAAAATGTCAGCTACATCATGCTACCTCTCAAAGAAGCAGTGTGAACTAAGAACACATGCAGAGCATCACTGGCCTAGTGTTAGACAACAGTAGAGCCAGGTGGGCCTGGTGTATGCAGATCTACTATAACCAGAGCTCTGTGGCTCCTTAACCTTACAATGTCAGCCTCTAAATAAGAAAATAAGGCTAATAAGACTTTTTGAGATAATACATTGACATATAATAGTTGGTGCCCATTCCCCAACCCTTAATCAATGAGGCTAGCCTGGGCATCTACCCCCCCCTCCACACTTCCACTGCCTATTGGAGGTCCAACCCAGGGCCTTGGCCATGCTAGCTCAAGCTACATACCCACCCAATCCTTACAACCACACTGCTCTGTGCTCTCTCTCTCTTTTTTTTTTTTTTTTTTTTTTTTTTTTTTTTTTTTTTACCAAACCTTTCAAACACCCGTCCTTGTGTTCTTTCTCTCTTTTTTTTTTTTTTTTTTTTTTTTTGGTCTTTTTAGACACAGTCTCCCTGTAGCCCCAGATGGCCTGGAACTCACTATGTAGACCAGGCTGGCTTCAAATTCACAAAGATCCAAGATCTGCCTGCCTCTGACTCCTGAGTGCTGGTATTAAAGGCATGTGCTACCACACCCTACACTGCTCTCTTAAAGATCATTTCTCAGCTAGACCTAGTGATGTGGGCCTGTAATCCCAGCTATTCTAATCTAGAGGCTGGGGCAGGAATGACGAATTTAAGGCCTGCCTGGGCTAAAGATTGAGTTCAAGACCAACCTTGGCTACATAATAAGACCTTGTCTCAAAATAAAAAGTAAAGACTAGGGATATTGCTCAGAGGTAAGGCATTTACTTAGTATGCAAGAGGCCCTGGTTCCATCTCCAGGACAGAAGGGGGAAAAAAATCTTTCCTGGTTGTCCAGGAGGTGGCAGCAGGGAGCCGTTGGGCCGATAACTACTCTAGTTAGGTAGGCCTGGCACAGTCCCAGCTGGGCAGCAGAGCCCAGCTGGCCCATCACTACATCCCGCAGTCGGATTTCTCTGAGAGCTATTCCCTGCTGACTTCGCTGGCTAAAACCTCCAGAGGTTTGCTCTGGCAGATAGCTCCTGGGACAGGCTGCACTGGAGCATCTGGTTGGGGGGGTAGGGGGTAGTGTAGAAAGGTGCATTAGATGATTTCTGCTTCTGGGAGCTTCAGGGAAGTTTGTTTTCAGTCTAGGTCAAACTGCCCAGTGCACCATCATGCCTCTGGTGGGCAGTTACCCACGTAGTTTTTTGACTGAGTCCGCCCCGCCTTCCCCCTGAAATAGCCTGTCCTGTGACTCCTCCTTAGGGTTTGTACTCTCAGGACCAAACTCAGAGGATCTGCTGCAACTTCAGTATCCCTGGAGCCTCATACCATGTGATGCCTGCTTGCCCTTCCCATCTCATTTCTCACTGTCCCCTTGCTTGCTCCCAATCTTGGCTTCAGTTTGCCTCCTCCCCACTTCTGCTTACCTGCTTATGTCCCTCTTGATTCCTCTACCTCCCTCTCCCACTCTTAGGCAGGTATGACCAGCTCCTCTTTCCCCTACTTCACAGAAGTCAACACTACCCCTTAATGCCACTACTACACTCCTGTGCCAGGGCACCTGCTCCTAATATGCTTCACTATCTTTATCCCCACAGACTACAAATTCCTTGGGGCAGAGACTCTGGACTACTCACACCTGCCACAAGTACATAGGGCTTTCAAAGACGATGCCACAAAGCTTGTGGGATGAATAAACAAGGTCTGCTCCCTCATATCCCCAGTAACATATAGGAATATCCTGTCATGCTCTCCATCTGCCAGTTGGGACAAGGTGATCCAGACACCTTCAGTGGCAGCCTCCCTTCAGCAGACCCAGAGACCCAGTCTGTCACCTCTGAACAGAGTGGGTCCTGCTGTCTTGGTGCCCCTGGCTTAGTGAATGTTCATGGCTCTTTTTGCTCTACAGTAGGAAGTGAAAGCCTCATTCTCATGCATTCTCTATGAATGTGGTTCCCCTCAAGGGTCACCTCAGGGCTCAAAAGTCCCTCCAGCCATGTTAGTCTTACAGTAGGCTCCTCTCAGCTGTAGGACCAGCCTCTGGAACCCAGAACCTTTGCTCATGCTGTTCCTACCAGCGTTCTATCCCTCTTTGCCCCGATTTTCCTCTGGAGACTTGACATTTCTGGAGTCCTCTCTTACTACTACTCTGTAAGGATTCCCCAGTTCACACTCTGGTCTTCCATGGCTCTGTACGCCAGTTGTTTCACCCACCTCTACCCCCTCTGCACCCACCCTAGGGATGACAAGCAGTAGGCACCTTGTACAGATGAAATGCAGGTAGGGCTGCCAGACGACTCAGGAAGGGCTGAGGGTTGCCGGCAGGTTGGCCTCACCCCATCCTGGGTCTAACAGAGCCTCACCTCCAATACTCTTCGCTGGGGCTGGTCCTCTGCAGGGTACGGTTGAGCAAATGGGAGAGGGTGCCAGACAGGGCAGTGGGCCAGGAGCCGTTGGTGAGGTTGGAAGAATCCAGCACACCAGCACAGTCAGGTGTGTTCCAGGGGTTACTGCAGTAAGCCCAGGGCAGCACGTGCGTCATGGATGAGAAGAAGTAGTAGAAGGCGATGCAGATGACAACATTGTAGTAGATTCCGATGTATGTGGACACCACCATCATGCCATAGCCCACACCTGGGGTGGGGGAGGGTTAAGGTCCAATGAGAGAAGCGCTTCACTCACCTAGCTAAAGGTTAACTGTTCCTAAGAGCCCAAGGGACAGGCTCTGATGGAGAGCTACAGGAGGGAAGGTCAAAGCCTCGATACAGATTAAGTTTTGGGGCAAATGAGTTTTGTGTATACATGTGGCAGGAGGGGAAGGTGGAGGCCAAGTAAATACGAATTCCAGCATGTGGCCTTGGCCTTGGCCATTGATGTTGGGCCTGGGGTCAGCAATGAGGCTCCAAAAGGGATGTACATGTTTATACAGATGGATAAGCCAGCGCGTGCGCGTGTGTGTATGTGTGTGTGTACACGTGTGCACACATGTGTGCACTCCCCACCTGGGCCTCACCTTTGAACATGGGGCTGATCCTCCAGACCCCCAGGCAGCCCTGGCTTGCAAACTGGCCGAAGGACAGTTCCATGAAGAAGAGAGGGATTCCACAGAAGATCAGCATGATGAAGTAGGGGAACATGAAGGCGCCTGGCATGCAAGGAGAGGTCAGGCTCAGGGTGGGCTTGGGGGATCCCTCCCTGGGCTTCCTTCTCAGAACCAACAGTAAAGCCTTTGTGCTTGACTAGGACTGGAATAGGAGTGTGCCAGGCATTGAGCAGGAGCCTGGGCCTGAGGCACGCTCCCCATAGCCTGTCTCTGAACTTGACAGAGGCTCCCAGGAAACCTGCTCTAGAGAGAGTCAGCCCAGAGCTGCCATGTTGGGGTGAAATTTGATGGCTTAATCAATTGACTTCACAAATAAAAAAGTCACTGGGATCCTCAAATAGCTCTGTACCACCTGGGGCGGGTATCAAAACATGAGGGGGCAAGACATGGAACCCAGGAAGTTAGAGTGCTTCTGTCTACCTCTTCTACCCTCAAGGGAGCAGGCTAGCAGGGTCAGGCCCAAAAAACAGAATGTCAAGGTCTGAGGGTGGTCTGTGTCTTAGGCAAAGTGTGCCCAAGCCGGTGGTTGGATGAAGATGACCAGGGCCAGAGGCCAGTTTCTGCCTAGAGCATCATCTGTGCCAGGGAGACAGTGTGGGCTCTACCCAAGTGGGTGGTCCCTGCCCTGTGCCCACTGGGTACCTCCCCCGTTGCGATAGCAGAGGTATGGGAAGCGCCAGACATTGCCCAGGCCCACGGCATAGCCCACGCTCGTCAGTACAAACTCGATCTGGTTGCCCCAGTTGCCCCGTGTGAGGTTCTGGTCCCTCTTGGTGGCCTCGCCGGGCACAGCACCATTCTGTGGGGACAGGAGAGAAGCTACCATCAGCAAGGCTCCACGCCTGACCATCTAAGTCTCCCCCAGTGGGGACACATTACACTTCCAAGCCCCCCGCCCCCACCCTGGGGTTTCCCTTCTGTTGGCAGGAGCTGAGGGCAGGCCTGGCAGAAGAGAAGGGAGGTACAGCTGTCAAATGGTGCCCAGCAGTGCCTCCCTCACCAGCCCCCAGCACCCTATGCCAGGTGTATTAGCTCACTGTACAGTGCTAGCCCACTGCTAACTGTAGCAGGTGAGGCATTGAGGAGGAAGCCCAAGCCATGAGCCCCTTAGCCCCTCTAAAACCTCGCCTCTCATCTCAGGGTAAGGCTCTAGGACAGCTGAGCCTCATACCAAGCAGCCAAGTCAGCCTGGGCACAAAGGGGCCTGTGTCCAGACAGCCACCCCCCCCACCCACCGCCTACCACATCACCAGGCTGAGCACGCTGCCCATGGACAGGAGGTGGCTAGATTGCTCCCCCAGCTGAACACTTCTTCCTGGGGGCACAGGGTGGGCAGAGCTGGGTGGAAGACGGGGTGGTATAGCTGAGTTTGGCCAGTCCTGCGGAGGACATTGTGGGCTCAAGACAGGAGGGCCTGGGGAAGCTGACTTGAGCCACAGCTGGGAATGCTGGGCTCTGAGTTAGTAGAAAACTAGAGTGGTAGGCACTATGCCAGACTTTGGGGACTGGCTTTGCTAGGGGAAACAGACGGAGTAGTTCCAGCGAAGAGTCTCACTGAACCAAGAAAGGGTGGCCTGCAGAAGATGGATCTCTGGTGCTGGATGTGCCCTGAGGATGGGTACCATGTCTGCCTGTGGGAATTGCTGGGCTGGCCTGCCCAGGGCTACACTGAAGATAGTCCATGTGAAGTCCCAAACCGAGTTAGACATAACTCTATGGGTCCCTTAGTAAGGGTGTGTACCCCTTCCACGGGCCACTCTTCTCCCAGTCCCCTCCTACCATGAGTGGGACTCAACCCATCCTGAGCCAGAGCTGGAGGGGCCTGAGAGTATCCTTAAGGAGACATAAGAACCTTGGGAGTCACCAGCAGAGAAACCCAGAATGCTTTCATGCCAACAATGGTAGAATGCTGACTCTGGGCATGGAAGAGCCATCTTCAAGTTCAGCAGTCACTCTGGCCAATAATAAGCAAGGTGGCCTGTTGCTTTGAAATGCTGTCAGACCTTGACATTGGCAGACAAACCTAAATGGCTTCACTAGGCCCCAGAACCTGGCAAACGAGCACTGTTGGTAGCACTATCCTGTGCTCCCAATTCAGCTCAGACATGTTGCCCCTTACACCCTCTAAGGAGGCTGTAGGGCATAGCAGTAGGAATTAACTGTGTGTGTGGGTTCCCTTCCTGGATCACCAAGAGCAAGCTGGCAGGCCAAAGGTACTGCACTCATTCCTCATTCATTCATTTGCCTTTTTTTTTTTTTATGCAGTGTCAAAATTTGCAGATCCCCAGCTATGTGCCAGGCAAAAGAACCCCTGTCATTCAGTGTTGGAAGTCATTAATTAAGAGCACACATTGTCCTAACTTCAGTATGACCACAAAGTGAACTTCCTCAAAGTATTAAGAGAACATGAAATGAAAAGGCAAGGTGAGGACCAGGGAAGGCTAGCTGGTGAAGGCGTGGAGGTGCACTGGGCTCTGGGAGACAATGGCTCCAGCCTCAGTGACATCCTACCATGTCACCCACTCTGAGGGACTTTCTTTGCGGCAGTTCTATCAATACCACAGGATCAGGGGTCATGTTTTGGAGAATATGGGGCTTGCTTAGAGAGGCTTATCAGAACCCAAATAAATATCAGCCAAATAGGGCCCCTAAATGTTGGCTCTACAATAACACTTTTATTCAGTCTTGGGCTTGTTTACTTAGGGGCACAATGCAGGATTGTGGCTGTTCCAGAGTCTGTGGGTAGGGTCACAGGACAGCAGTTCCAGCTGTAAAAGGGACAACTGAGGGTCTGAGGTGGCCTTATGGGCAGAGAAAGGGCAAGGAAAGACACTCAGCTCTTCTAAACTTAAAAGTTCAAAGCCTCTTTCCTGACCTAGGGTCCTGAGGGGACACAATCCTGACCTCTCAACCAAGTACAGCAGGATTCTATTTGGATCCTCAAGTTTCAGTTGTTCCTGAGCACAGAGGGGGACAGGGAGGGAAGTGAAGTCCCTCTCCCATGCGCCACAGGCAGCTGCCTGCTCGAGTCCTCAAGAGTCACTGCTTAGCTAAGGAGATGCACACCACTGAGCTGTGTGCTAACCAGTTCAGCCAAGCAAGCAATGAGGGAAGCCGATGCCCTGGGATAGGAGCTAGACTGGGGCCTGCCATTGGGCACTGGCAGGAAGTTCCTGATGACACTATGGCTCCCTGCAAACAAAGTTTCCTTCTCTTCTCTGGCCCAATGGCACAGCGGTGCCCATGTGGAGGAACTTGGCCCACTAAGTTCCACCAATGACCCCTGACTTCCATTCTGTGAGACCTAGACTCAGGTAGCTTGTCCACTCTATGCCCCAGCTAGTTTCTCCAGGAAAGCTAAGATTGTGTGTGCGTGTGTGTGTGCGTGTGTTGCTGTAGACTGAACATAGGGGCCTGATGACTCCATCCCAGCCCAGCTACAGTTTTTAATGCTGCGTAACTTTTTGCCCTCCTTTCATCATCTTTCCTATTTTAAGACCCTTGTTTTCCTTGACCTGCTGTGTCACTAATACTAACTCTCCTACTGGCTCTGAAATGCCCACGAAAGAACCCCTTTGTGCTTATGATTTGACCCAGTCTGGCTGCCTCGCTGCCTAAGCCAGCTTAGTCCCACAGATGGGGTAAGTTCCAGTTTTCTCGTGCCTACTGCATGTTACCCTGGCTGCCCTTTGCTGCCATTCCTCAGCCACCTGTTCACATCTTGGTGGGGAATAAAACCACAGGAGCAGTGCCCTCCTGGTGGCACTCAGAGACCACTGCCATGGCCTGAGTGCGTGGTCTCCAGGAAAGGGACTGCCCTGATCTGTACTCAAGCTCTCCTAGGCTGGGCAGAATACAGGCCTAGGAGCCTAGGAGCTTTCCTTCCCTAGCTGAGTGGAGAAACCGGACAACCACATGTACCAAATGCATGTGTGCAGGTACACCCCCCCCCCCCCGAGACAGCCTCTTAATCTCAATCTCAGAACTGGCCATGGAGGCTGCAATATCCATCTTCATACCAGAACTGTGAAGTTTCTTGGGTTAACAACCCCCACCCCTGCTGTCCACGCCTGGCTGGCTGAGCCACACTGAGCAGTCACTTATACAAGTCTTTAAATAGCCCTCTGTCCAGCTTATTTGCTGGATACTGAGTTGCAGGAATTAGGACTGTTCAGTTCTGAGGGCAGAATGAGGATCTTCCACTCTGTCTGCCCTGGGTTTGGTCAAGGTCAAGGTAGGATAATGTGTGGGACTGAGACCCAGGTGTTCTAGAACTTGCTCCGTAGTAACCTGGGGCAAGTCCCTTCAACTGTGGGTATCACAGTGACCCTACCTAGGGAACCAGGAGATAGACTGGGTACCTGCTGTAGGCCTGGCAGCCTCATAGGCCAGACAGCCTCCTCTGGCTCCATCTCACCTGCAACTCAGCTGTTTCTTAAAAAAAATTAAATGTATTATTAGTGTGGGTACGCATGTATGCGTGTGCGTGTGTATTTGTGTGCAGGTGTGCATGTGCCACAGCGTGCATATAGAGGTCAGAGGACAACTTTTAGGAGTTGGTTTTCTTCTTCCACTGTGGAATCTGGGGATCAAATGCAAGTTATCAGGCTTGTGCAGCAAGTGTTTTAACTGAGTGAGCTATCTTGCTGGGCCCAGCTCAGCTATTTCTGACTGTCTTCTGTATGTCTCATTAGTGTCTACTAGCTTTGTAGCCAAGGTAAGCCTCAAATTCACAGTGAACCTGCCTCAGTCTCCTGAGTGTTAGGATTACAGGCGTGAGCCACCACACCTAGCTTTTTTAAAAAAGTTGAGGTGGAAGTTCAGAAAATCATCAAGAAGGAATAGTGGGCAGTCCGCCCCTGAGGTGACTGTAACCCACACAAGGCAGGACACCCTCATTTATTCATTGCGTGGGTGCAGAAGCCCAGCCAGGAACCTGGACTACTCCTCTGCTCTGGCTGGGGACTTCCACCCTCCTAAATCAGTGTTTAGTGGATATTTTTGTGAACTGTGAACTCCCTCTGCCTGCCCTGCTGGACATGGAGCTGCCCTGGCAGGCTAGCCCCGCTGGGACCCACCAGGCTTCTTGTTCAGGACTCTCCGGCCTCAGGGTTTGTTCATGGGATGAAGCCTGTCCAAGACAAACTCAACGGAGGAGAGTGGGCAAGACCTCACATCCCAGACTGACTTGGAGCCAAATCATATCACCAGCAGCTTGCTTGGAGCCCCAGTGGGGAAATCAGGCAGAGAAGCTTCACAGTCAGCCTCAGAAGACCCCATGACCAACCCCTAGGTACTCCTCGATTCTTGTTTTCCCATGTTCTCTCCTGGCATCAGACCAGTGGACAGAGTGGCTCTCAAACAGCATCTTCCAGGCTTCTGTCCTTTACCTGTAGCGCACTGAGTGGGTCCAGAGAGACTCAACCACAGACCAAAACACTGGCCTCAAACACCTGTGAGACATGGAAACTATGGAAAGTCCAACCCAGTCTGCATGGTCTCCAGGGCTCTGAGTAACTCTGGGTCCCTCCCAGAACTCTTTCCAGGTAGAGTCCAGGCCCTCATTCAGCAGGTAAGAGAGGGGCAGGGATATACCTGGAGCTGGCTCATTACTGAGCCCTGACTGACAGAGAGTGACTTGCCAATTTTGCAGGCAACAGTCAGAAGACTGGCACCCTAGGCATGCCAGGCTCTGTTCCAGGCCCTGGGGAGAGTGATAGAGGATGCTGGGTGGGTCCTGCCTCTACCCTCACCTTCCTCCTAGAGAAGCCCAGCAGCCTGGAAGACTGCAGTGAGGCA